GGGGGGGGGGGGGGGGTGGGGGGGGGGGGATCTGGAGGGTGGCGAAGAGTGGGCGATCGTTGTGAAATAATGAACTTAAAAGCGCGAAGAGAGAGAGAGAGAGATGGAGAAACGAAGCCCCCGAGGTAAAACGACAGGCCAAAAATGAAGAGGACAGAATGAACGCTACCGTTGTGCGATATTTACTTGGAAGTACGCCGAGTTCCCGAGCGACTCAGGCTGCGAGGGAATACGGAGGTTAGGTACTCGGGCCACTAGCACCGTACACGTGCGGGCAAACGCACAGGTGTGGCGATCGACAATCGACTGCTCCAAACCCATAGGCTATCAATAGGTTTGGTGACCGCTGCCCAGCAGGAGCTTGGCGAGAGGGATGGAGACAGACAGACAGACAGACAGACAGACAGACAGACAAAGACAGACAGACAAAGACAGACAGAGAGAGAGAGAGAGAGAGGCCACAACAAACTCCGGGAATAGACGAAACGGTGGATGATTTCTACTTGATCAGCGGGCCCAATCAAGTATCATCTAAATAAGCGGTTGTGACGAATGTAGACACGAAAAAAAAAACGCTTCCGACCTTGGGGGAAGAGGGAAGGCGGAAGTTTTCGACCAAAACCAAAAACAAGGGACAGCTTGTACCGCGACACACACCGCACGATCCAAAAAAAAAGAAAAAAAGCCAGTCTGGACGTAGACCGTTCATGGTTCGCAACATATCAACAACAGCGAGTATGTACACAAAACAAATCATCATGATCGAGAAGCAAGCCAAAGCACAACAATGGCAAGGGGAAGGGGAAGCTTGCTCGCCTTCTGCCCGTCGACGTAGAGAGTGGTCTTTTGGATCTTGGCGGACAAATTCCTCACGACCACCTTGTACGGGCACTTTTGGTTGGGTTGTGGTGTCGTTGTGGTGGTCGTGGTGGTGATACGGTTGACGCGATGAGGCCGCACGAACGGGCGGCAGGGGCGAGCAAACGGGGCGAATATCGAATGGGCAAAGGTGTCAACACAACATGAACGTACAGCCATGCATCTGGACAAATCTTATTGCAATACGGGTATTCCAGCGCTGGCAACGGCTGCGGAGAGCACTCTGGATATCACGCACACGTGACGGGTAAACCTGAAGCGCATGCAGCTGAAAAGCAAGATATAGGCAGTCACACGGATGCCTACACGTCTGTATGTATCTGCAATTTTCGTGCATGTGTGTGCGTGTGTGTGTGTATGTTTTATCACTTGCGGCCTCGTCTGCGGGAACAAGGAGGCTGGGGGTAGGCGCCCGCAGAAGGGCGAAGGGAGCACATCTGAGGTAAAGAAAAAGAAAAAAAGTGACACGGCAATCCCAAACATCCTGGCAGAGAAGAAAACTCTCATCTTCAGGCCGAAGTGGCGGGCACCTCATGCTGGAAGGGTAGGCGGCAAGCCAAGACGTATTCAGATGAGAGACGTTTCCAGACCAATGAAGATAAGGCTTTTTCCTCCGCCGGCGTGCGTCACACCTAAATGTACCTCGACAGGAGTTGTTGCAGTGCGCGTCGCCCTACGCGCATCTCCTGGACTGTATTCGTGCAGGTAGGTTCGAGCAAACACTTGACGACTTGGGCCGTGTCGCTGTCGGCGCGCAACACACCTACTCATTTTATGCAGTTCGAGTCGCCCCCTCGGGGGCGGGGCGAAAAACAGCTACAACACCCGGCGACTCGGCCGTGTCGTAAGGTTTGATTCTGAGTGGCGCTACAGCAGTGGTAGTAGTAGCGAAAAAAAACGAACACGCGTGAACATGCTGTAGGCTTAGGTCATTAAAAAATGGAACTTCTCACCACGGGCCACTTTTGAGAGATCTTCTCTGCCGCACCGTGGCCTTTGACCTCTTCCACGAACTCGACGCCGTACGAGACCTTGGAGCTGCAATACAAACCGCAGTAGCAGAGGGTACGGTAGGATGGTTTGCGGGTTCAGGAATCGGAAATAGAGAGGGGGGTGGGGGGGGTCGGGTACACAGAGTGCCCTCGTTGTGTCCTTGCTTGCGGTCCATCACTTGAGTGAGGATAGTTGGCTGGGCGCAGGTGAGGCACCCAACCAGGAGTAAGAGAAGCGAAAAGAAAACGGCGGCTGGTCACACCTAGTGGAAACTTGGGAGTGTGCTTGGAACCCCGCTTGTGGTCAGGCTACGGCAAGCCCCACGGTTCATCGCCAGTTGGACCGGTACGATAATGAGCAGAGATCGGAACGGATACGTAATGCACAGGAAGAAGAACAAGAAGAAGAGCAATAACAACGATAACAACAACATGCTTACCCTGTCCGGGAAGCCCGTAGACTATGCATAAAAAAAACGATCAAAACCTTCAAGCAAACGAAGGCTTACGTTGATCGGTTAGCCGGTTAGCCGTTGATGCCTACTGACCCACACTGACACACTCCCATTGGTCAGCGGTTTCGCCCTGTCGATGCTATCGAGAAAAATACACACGTACACATTTGTCGGTCGGTTACGCGGTCTATCCTAGAAGGGGGAAAAAACGAATGACACGCACACATTCTGCTGCAGACTGACGAATTTCACTGGCTTCCCGGCTAGCGCGGTCGACAAAAAGAAAATAAAACACGCACACATACACACAGGCTAGGGGGACCGATGTCAAATTCACGAAACATTCGCCAACACACTCACAAGAGGGGCATGACCACGTACGTGTTCCCATCATTAGCTTTGATCTCCTCCAGCTTCTCGTTGTTGACCTGGCGTCGTCAGTGTTTTCGGTCGTTCGCTCATTCGATTGCCATGCTCGTGTTACGGCAGGCTGTTCAGGTACGGCAGGCTGTTAAGTTACGGCAGGCTGTTCAGCTCTGGTGGGCTGTTCAGTTACAGGGCTGTTCAAGACGGCGTGGCTGATGCGGAAGGGAACAAGGGCGCGTGTGTACATGCCCTGGGCACAGCAGCGTAGCCGTGAACAGAGATCTCACCCGCGCGACCTGTGTAAGACGCTAATCTTTCGGTGGAGTCATGCTTCCGGTTCCACATCAGCACAAAAACTCACTCCTCTCCAACCTTCACCGGTGAAAAGGGCACAAAGGCAATCTTCTTGTAAGAGGTGGGGGGTGTACTCGTACTCATAGTCGTGCATGCCGTAGTCGTAAGACCATTGACCTCGCATCCCTACAAAGCCGGGACGGAGCACGCCGGGTTCTTACCGGACCAGGCTCTCACATCACCAAGAGCGAAGCATCGTGAGGTATTCGGCGAGTCGCACGAACGATGCGCTGCATCCTGCTGAGGGCGTTCGGCGTCTTGTGCTTACTCCTTGCGTAATGATGGCAGCTGCGTACTTCTATGACTTACTTTATTATCTGGTGCTTTTACTTCCAGAGACAGTTATAAGCACTGTGTAACTGCCTCGAGGGTTGCTTGACCATTTTAACACAACGTGGCGCGACCATCCCCTTTGCGCAGAGTGAGGGTTCTCGATCCCGCACAGAACAGTCTACTCGACCACCATTATGGTTATCGCAAAAAAAAAACACGGGATAAACCAGCGTAGCGCAACGGGTGGTTCAGGCGTCGGGGCACGAAATATCTTATACTGGCGCAAACATGAAAAATGGATCCCATGCAGACCATGTCATAGCAAACGCATTTCTTCCGTGAGGAGCCTACAGGTTAGGGCCCACACAAAACCAGCGTTGGTTTTGCGCCGAAGAAAGACTAAGCTCAGCTTCGTTGTTCGTAGGCACCGTCGAGCGCAATCATACACATACACGCTACCAAGTTTGGCTACAGATTGCACCCGCTAGGTAGGGTGTGTGCTTCATGGAACAAATTTTCTCTTTCTCCGAGCAAACGGAAATCTGATGGAGTATGACGTACTTGAGGTATGATATGGCCAGATTGATTTGCGGGATCACCCTTCTGTATTAGTTGATGGTCCAAGTCTACCGCAGTTGTTCCGTTCTCAGCTGTCGGGTGAAAGGGTAAAGGGTCTATGGAGGACGCACTACATGTAGACTCCATGTACATTCCGTGACGAGGACATACAAATAGCATCGTGGGGGGAGCCACGGCAATCCTCCACCAATCAACAAAATGTTTCGATAGGCATATGTTCAAACGTTTACACAGAGAGGCTCCCGATTTCCGAGGAGTCTTGAAGCTTACCGTCGGTAACACAAGATACCATCACACCTCTTGGACCATTTTCAAAACTCGATTTCTCCACGAAAAAGAGGATGAATAAATGAAACGATACGTTTTTGAACAGCTCGCGACGAGACAGCTTCAGCGCCCCAGTTGTCGGCGCTGCCACTCTTTACGCTGTGCAGAAATAGAGCGTTGACAATCGGGCTTGGGGGTGTGATATCTCACGTGACCTGCGGCGATCCAGAGACTGACACAAGATACATGAGTTTCGTAAAACACGAGGACAAGCGGCCGCAGCAGCCAGTGAATAGAACCAAAGGTCAAGGCTCGGCAAACATGCACCCAGCATCCCTCAAATATGCCCCGGCTGTCGCCACAGGCGTGTGTGCTGGTGAGAGGACCAATCATGTGTCCAGAGGACAGCTGTACACCCAGCATACTGCTGTACTTGTGCCAGCATACACGGCCTCGAAAAAATTCAGGGTATTTCACGGAGCCGTTTTTTTCCACGGAGCGGATAGCGAAATGGTTCAAACCGCTCCGTGACATGATAGGAAAAACCGCTCCGCTCCGTGAGAATTTTGCCCTCGGGTAAACCGCTCCGCTCCGTGGAGCTTCCCCGAAACCCGTACAACAAGCGGTTTTTCCACGGAGCGTTTTGAGCTACTCCGCCACACGAGCACGGATAAAACCGCAAAAAAATCACACGGGTAAAACCGCAAAAAGGTCACGGTGTTCCCACGGAGTCGCGGTATTTTTTCATTTTTTCTGTTTTTCTATTCTGCTTTCACAGCAAGAGGTACCAGGTATTAGTACTGACAAGTTTTACGAGAGGCGAGTGAGGAATCATTTGCTGTTATACGTGTTGCAGGAACGTACGAGTCGAGGAGGTATCAGGTTTAGTACTGACAAGTTTCAACGAGAGGCAAGTGAGGAATCATCTGCTGTTTTACGTGTTAATATAGGAGTCGAGGAGGTATCGATGCGGGGAACGGTCCCTCTTGAGAATAATTGATAAATTGGCAGCTTTTGGGGCTGTTTGGGCTGTCCTAGCGGCGAGGACGCATACGGTGTCACCGGCGGCCTACAACCACAGCACACCGTGCGGAAAATCGCTGTTCGGTGTACCAAACCCAACGTTTTTCACGAAATTGCAATTACTCCGTCGATTGTGTACGGGTATCCGTGCGGTTTCGACGGGCGGGTGTTTCTGACGAAAAACCGTCCTCAAGGCCGCGGTTTCGCGTGGTTTATGCTACCGAGCAAAGAAAACCGCTCCGTGAAAAAAAACGGACTATCATCACGGATAAACCGCCACGCTCCGCTCCGTGACATGAAAAAAAAAAACGCTTCGCTCCGTGGGACTTTTGCCCCCGGATAAACCGCTCCGCACCATTCCGAGAGATTTTCAAGTGAAGAAAAACGCTCCGTTCCTGCTGCCCGTGGAACTTGAAAAAGAAAAAAACCGCTCCGCGGAGCGATTCTACTCGGGAGTTGCTGTACCCTGAAATTTTGAAAGTCGCGAATTTGAAAAAAGACACAAATTATCAAATTATCAGAGCACGGTGCTTGCACTACTGTGGATGAGCATCTGAAAACTCACGATGATGTGGAACTCATTGTCCTGCTTCTCGTCGAGCATCGTGGTTTCCTCTCTTCCCTCTCTGTCACGGTGCCTCTTTCCGGGTGTCTATGCCACAGCTCGCTCGCTTGCTCTTGCCTGTTGGCCGCTCGCGGATTCTTATAGCCACCCCCGGGTAGGCGAGTGCGGAGAATATCTGCGATGACCCCGGCCGCTGTCAGCAGTCAGTGCTGTGGGCTGTCTGCGTCTGCCAACACCGCTGCTGGCTAAGGAAGGGACGATGCCGAACCTACGTGCTACGAAGCTTTACACGGTGGATCAGATACGGAATTCTCCCTCCAGAAAAGACGGCGTCTCCGAGGCCTTGGAGAATGACTATCGGCGAAAGACAGGGCTCTTTATCAAGGCGGCGGGGAAGGAGCTTGAGCTGTGAGGATAGACTACATGTACTGTAGATACCTGGTAGAGGCCTGTGCGTTCTCCAGTGGGTGTTGGTCGATGTGTGGCGGCGGTTTTCCATCCATTGCAGCAAGTGTAGTGGCGCGGGGTCTGCTTGCAAGCACAGCAGTGTACGTCTCGATTTGCGGAGAACCATGAAGACACCGTTGGCTACAATCTACGAATTCGACCTCGGCAGCCGCACAGCAGTCGTATTCAACTGCTACTCTGTATCTCTGCTTGTTACACAGCTGGGGAGCGATGCGTGCATGTTTTGCGAGAATCAGGTAGAAGCAAATACTTCGATGTTAACTACAATGTAGGGTGGAAGGTGGTGATGAGACAAAACCAACAAGACGCGGTCGAACCCGATGAGACAAAACCAACAAGACGCGGTCGAACCCGATCTCCACAGCAAACCGCGGTGTACATGTATGGGTACATACATCACTCCTATAAACGAGATTTTCCGTACTCTGCTGCACCTCCATGTTTTCTCTCGCCATGATTGTCTGTTGGCCGGCAGATGCTATTATACCCGCATTTTTCGGGCCAGGTAGCCCCTCGGCGTGAACTGACAGTTACACGCACGTACATGCTTACATGTAGTAACCACGTACATGCTTACATGTAGTAAGGCCGACAGCAGTAGCGCTCCGGGTGTGCTGCTTGTGAGTCGCGTGCATAGCAAGTACTCTCTCGTGCTTGGATAGCGCTGTTTCGAAGCAGCCCGAGAGAGGTTTATTCTACGGTGGTGGTGGCGGTGGGGTGGAGGGTATCTTTCTGTCGCCCGAGAAGGGATACAGCACATGGTTCTACCCCCGCCGCCGCTGCACCGCTCTTTCGACAGACGGTTCTCGCCCACCTTCCCGGTGCTGACGCCTCACAACAACCAACAGCCCTGCCCCGCCTTGTTGGACTAACCGCTGTGATTGCCAACCCCTTGGCTCGTCTCTGTCTACGTGCGACGAACGTTTCCGGGCTTGGGGGGGGGGGGGGGGGAAGGCCGGTCGACGCGGTAGCGACGGCGCTGGTCTTCTTCCACAAGTTCTTCATGCTGCACTCTTTCCAGAAACACGAGCGCTTCTTCGTGGGATCGGCGTGCCTCTTCCTGGCCGCCAAGGTGGAGGTGCGTTCGTTCCGCAAGAATTGGAGTTGCTGTTGATGGTGGTGGTGTGGCGATGTTGATGATGTTGGCGTTGTTCGACTTGCTGCAAAGTGGTGGTGTTGGTGGTGGCGGTGGTGGTGTTGTTGCCGTCTTGCACATGGCGAATCAGCTCCCACCCTCGTAGCCGATATGTACACCTCAACAACGTCCGTGCCGGTCCCATGACGGGGAAACGGTTTTGCCGTGGCCACAGCAGTCCATCAGCCCAAACATTGTGCAAACGGGACAACGCTTTGGGAAATTTTTTGCCCAAGACACTCACGCTGTTCAGCACGTGGCGCGTCTCCTGCTGTTTGGACACGTACGGTCGGGCACGCACACACAGCCAATTTACTTGGTTGTAAACCATAAGGTTGTCGACGTGACGTCGAGCTTAATTCTCACATCTGCCCGTTGCACCGCTTCGTCTTGTATTCCCGAACCGCGAGAATTTGTTTCTCTCCCCACTACTCTGGGCGTTTCTGATTGGCGGATTTTATTTTTTTGTGTGTGGTGCGCTTTGTTTGGTTTGCAGGAGAGCTCAAAACGAGTGGAGCAGGTGATGAGCAAGAGCTGGAAGGTTTGGAATGGCGGCAGAGATCCCCCCGCCGAAAACGAGAAGTCTTTTAAGAGACTGAGGGAAAAGGTACGCCGCTTCTCTCACTCTCTGTGTCCTTTGTTTTTGTGTATTTTTCGTTTTTTTGGTCTCTTTATCTCCGACTTGTATTTCATTCTTCTGGTCCTTATTGCCCTGTCCTGCTGACTACGTATCTCACCGCCCGCGCTTCGTCTCAAGATTTAGCCTCTTTCTTCGAGAGTTGTTTATGGCGTTATTTTCGTAGATTGTGTGGAGGTTTTTCCCGCCTGATGCTGCACGACCACGTGCAGTATTTGGGGGTATCAAAAGTGCCCATGCTGTGCTGCGGCTGCGGATTTGATTGCTGATCGCGATTTTTGAGCTACCGCTGCGCAATATTTGACCGTTCCCGCAGTGACCAGCGTGTTGATCACAACGGTACGGACGGACCCAAGGGGGCAGTACTTTAAGTAGTAGCGTGAGGAGGTCTCGGATTATGTTCTTAAGGATGTTTAGCACTATTTCCTAAGTTGTCAACTCGTACAACGCAGGGAAAAACACTCGAACAACGAAGCTTGATGGAGGAGCCGCCGCAAGCAGTCAAGAACGTAGGTTTGCCCGAATGCCAAATGACGCGTGTTTGTTTTGTCCCGGCCGTGGTGTGCATATTCACTGCCGCTTTTTCGACCACCCATCCGCCCCCGCCCGCCTACGCGCGCAGATTCTTATCGCGGAACGCTGCGTTCTCCACACGCTCGGTTTTCAACTCACCGTGGAGCACCCGTATTCGGTTGTGATGTCTCTGCTGAAGAAGCTCTTTACGATGGGCAAGGGCGCCGACGGGGGGAAAGGGGCCGACAAGGCGCTCAACCGACAACTCAGCCAGGTACGTACGTGCGGCAGAAACGGGGGGGACTTGCTCAAGTTTCGGTACATGCAACGCCTTCTCTTCTTCGCGTTAAGCGTGGGTGTGCGGGACGCTTTGTCGGGTAGGAACAGCTCGTGTTTTCCTGTTGCCTTCGCTGCCTCAGATCTCGCCCCGAGGATTGCTCTAGTGTCAAATTGTAAATCCATACAACGATCGTTGTACTAGTATAGCATTATGTACACCATACTTGATCCTATGCTATAAAACATGCCAATAGACCCCACCCCCCCAGTGTGTGAACAAGCTGCAGTGCCACAAAGCAGCATGGGCGGATGGGATAGTCAACGAGTTCATGAAGTTTTGAGGGAAGGGGATGACCCAGCTGATGGTACTGCTGTACAACTGGGTGTTGAAAAACAAGTGGTTGTGAACTTGTTTAAGAAAGGAGACAAGACTGACCCAGGAAACTACAGGGGGATCACACTGTGTTGAACACAGTAGGAAAAGTGTCCTGTAAGCTGCTGAACGATGGGATAGTGGGAGTATTGGAGAAGGAACATAGCATTAGTGAGGGCCAGGCAGGTTTCCGAAAGAAGAGGGGGTGCGTAGACCACGCATGCACGGTAGGGAGAATCATCCAAGGTAGAAGAGGGCGGGACAGCCGACGTACTGCTTCTTCCTGGACGTGAAAAAGGCATACGATACACTATGGAGAAATGGGCTGTGGAAACAGTTGTCAAGTACGGGATCAAGGGGAAAATGGGAGAGTGCTGAAGAAGGTGACAGAGTGTACGAAAAGCGCGGTCATGCTAGACGGAGAACTGTCTAAGTTCTTCGACATTGAACAGGGGGTTCCACAAGGTTACACGCTGTCCACAACATTATTCCAGGTGTTCATCAACGATCTGTTGGAAGTCGTAGAGGCAGTCCGGAAGGGAGTAAAAGTACACGGAAACTTCGGTGTCGGGAATGCTGTTCGCGGATGATTTTGTTGGTATGTCGGACACCCCTGAGGGACTGCAACTGCAAATTGACGCAGCGAAGAAGTTTACCGATAAGTGAAAGATTGTCTTCCAACGTCAAGAAGAGTGCCGTCATGGTTTGCAACGAGGACAGGGGGGAACCAGTAGAATATGGATGGAAGTGGGGGATCGAGGAGATTGCAGTAGTGGACCAGTACACATACCTCGGAGTAAAGATCACAAAAGAGTGCTCGTGGAATGCAGCACACATGTCCAAGGTAGCGGAAAAGGGCAAAGCACGAGCAGGGAAGCTGCAGCCAATACTGGCACCTCGATACACGCATCAAATTGACGGTTTTCAAGAGCGTAATCGTACCGCCGCTAGAGTACGGCGCTAGAGTACGCCGGAGAAGTATGGGAAGGAAATAAGAAGGTAGTGAAAGAACTCGAGGCGGCGCAGATGAAAGCAGCGAAAATCATTCTAGGATGCTCCAAGCGCACAAGTAATGCAGCCGTCAGGGCAGAATTGGGCATCCAATCCCTACGGTCGGGAAGAGACGCAAGGAAGCTGACATGGCAGTATCGCATGTGCGGGATGGGAGGAGAGGTTGCCGAGAATAGTATGGGAGGCGAAGTGGGCAAACAAAAAGATGGGTAGACAACCCACGGAATGGGTCAAGGTTGTAGAGGACGTATGGAAGGGGTTCGAAATCGACGAAGATGAAACGCTGGAAACGGAGGGTCTACAGGGGTTCAAGGAGATTGCTTGTGCCGACAGAGAAGAACAGAATTTAAGGAAAGAAACCGAGGATAAGGAGGGTCTAGAAGTGTACGTAATTATGAAAGAAGGAATAGGGTTCAAGGATTACCTTCATGGACAATGGATGCAGGGACAAAGCTTAAAGTCAAATTCAGGACCGGGAACATAGGCCTTCGAGAACGTCGACGAAGACATAGGACGGTAGACGACGAAGACGACAAGTTCAAATGTGATTGCGGCTTGGAATGCAAAGACCGTGTTCATGTAGTCGCGGAATGTCCGTGGTACGAAAGGAGAGGGAAGTGTACATGACTGAGCTGGGAAAAATGCAAGGGAGGTACAGGGATATGTTTGAGGCATGAAATAGAGAGGAGAAGACGGTAGCTGTACTGGGGAATAGGAAGTGGTTTGAAAAGGCGGGAAGGGATATCGTTAGGATAGATAGACTAGGGACGACATTTTTGAGCCACCTTTGGCAAAGTAGGAAGGAACGATTGGCCATAGGTGATGGGTCATGTGGGAACAATGCTCCGTCCTCTCGAGGACGCGTGGTCAATGGTCTAACCGCTAAGGCATGCAAAACATAAGAGTACGCCCCCCCCCCCCCAAAAAAACCCTCAGTCCAGTTTGGGGCAGGACATCTGAAATCCCCTACACGGCCCCCCTTCCAAGGGGTTGTACGGGGGGGGCGCAAATGTAAGGCACCGCTCCACCAGGGCCAGTTTCCACCCCCCATTCCTCCTTCTGGTGAAAGATGGCGGTACCGAGCATGGCTCCCCTGGATAGACCGTGCAGGGATATTTGTTCTCCAGACATGTCGTTCGGCTTTTGGTGCCCTTCGTGCCGTGAAGTACTGGAGCTTATCGTCCCGTTCTAGTGGCCTTCTTCTGGGACGTATCCCTCACGTGTACTACTGCTCTCGCACGCGTGGCTTTCAAGGTGGGGCATGCGTCCAGTACACGAAGGCCCTGTTCCGCCGTTGCCTACGCCCCCCTCCTCTTCCCCCCTCCCATTTTTTACACGTCCACTTTCAACATTTGTTTTTTTGCGGGACATTTTTCTTTGTTGTGGTGCTTGAGTGTGCCGCCTTTTTATTTCGCCCTTGTCACCGGTGCAGGCGGCAACCAGCTTCGTGAACGACAGCCTGTTGACCACGCTGTGCCTCCAGTACCGGCCGAAGCAGGTGGCAGCGGCGGTTGTCTACCTGTCGTACTTGTACATGGGCCTGCCCCGGGTAGATACGATGCTCCTGGAGGCTGACGTCACGGTGGTCGCAGGTGAGATGACAATCAATCCGTCGTCCTACGTCTCTCTCTGTATGTTTGTCCATCTCGCGGCAGCATGAAGAACGGAACAGTTGTTGTTTGGTGTGCAGACAGAAGAGGCGCAATGTCCTCAGCCGCGTATGACGTTGTGGATACGTTCTGAATCCAGACGTTGGTTTTCAAGCCGGCAGGATTCTTGGGGAACCCTCCCCGCCCCCGCCCCCGCCAGCACGCAACTTGTGGCGCGGGCATTTGCACGACACATACACCTGTATCACATAATTTGCCCTGCTCTTGCAGGGCTGCCTCCAATCCGTGGTCCGCTTTCCTTTGATCCTTCCTTTGAACGGATTGATTGGATTTCGTGCGTGACGGTGTGACGAAACGACGTCAAATAAATCCTAATAACGGGAGCGAGGGTGTCTCTCTTTCTCTGTCGCGGAGTCCTCTCTCTTGTTCTACAAAAAATTAATAAAATAGTATTATTGTACATCATGTCACACAGCGGATGGATGTGCAGTATGCCTACTACGTACTGTACGCCAGTCAGTAGTGTGCTATAGCCTTCCTTCTCATCTCGTTGTGCGCTGATTAGCGCCTGTCTGTCTGGTGGTTATGGATGACAAAAAGGCAGGGCTGTCCTCGTTAATTTCTCCGCAGTAACTTTACCGCACGCAGTAAAACCACCGTAATCACAGTTAGTTTCCCGCGATCCCGTGAAAAATAAGAATTACCGTTTTCCCATCCAAATCGTTTCCGTGATAAACTGATTTTACCGTTAACGACCAACAAATGTTGAAGTCCCCTATTACAGTACAAAAAATAACCGCGGAAAAATCGGAATTCCCGTGCTTTCGAGTTACCGCGGAGTATATGTTACCGTAAGAAAGAGCAACACAATCTCATCTACAGTATAAGTAGTACCGCACAGAAACACCAGGTAGTTGCATTGTTTGTTGAACGGTTGAATAATTCCACCGTTTCTCTGTGGATGAGGAAGGCGGCGCTTGCTTTTGTTACCTGTCGTGTTGATGACATATTATTCCTTGGCGCATGGTGGACTTATTACGTCGTCTTGAGGCCACGAGAGCCTGTGTCTCTGCAATGAAGTAGATACGTAGATACATACTTCATACATGCTGTCTGGTTGTCACCCTTCTTTTTATGGCACCGGTTTGGTTGCGGACGTGATGATGCTCGGTGAATGAATGAATGTGTCGCGCACGTTTGGTGTGCGGTGACCACGCCCTTAAGGAACAATTGAAAGCGAGCAAACGAAACAGGGCCCGACGTGCCATGGTGGTGTGGTTAACTGTACAAACAAGTTATACCGTGCGTGGTGACCAGTTTCTGTTACAAAGAAAGCATATTATTTCTGTGCATGTGACTGTGGGGACTGGTTACCGTACAAGAAATTACCGTGGTGACCAGTTACCGTAAAAACATGCACATTCCTGTGCATTACCGTGGTGGCTGGTTGCCGTACAATAACATTACCGTGGTGACGAGTTACCGTACGGAATGTACCGTGCGTGGTGGCCAGTTACCGCATGGAGCATGCCGTGGTGGCCAGTTACCGCCCAATAACTGTACGACCGTGGTTTTCCGTGGAAATGATTCTGACATGAAAAACCGTTAACGAGGACAGCCAGCCCTCCCTGCAAAAATGTGCGTTTTGGAGCGAGCGATGTCTGGGTGTGCTTCTTCTTCACACACTCGCCTGCGCCTATCTATCCGCTGTGCAGCTCTGTTGCAGCACAGCAGTAGTCTATAATATGTAGCCTACACTTCAACACTACACACTGCTGCTGCTGTAGAAGTGATCGCCTCGTTTTCTCTATGGAGGCTGGCGAGAGACGCACCATTAAGTTCCTTGGACAAAGTATTCGTAGTTGTAGTATACCTACATTACAGCAGTAGTGTAGTCTAGTGTCGTAGGAGCTGTAGTAGTAGTCTATGTAGCTGCGGATGGATCTAACCAACATAGAGTACTATGGATCGAACAAACATAGAGTACTATGTTCCTTGGACGGACGTGTGTACTGTGCAAAGGCGTGCATCCTGTATACAGCAGCAGTAGTAGTAGGAATGGTAGTCTACAGCAGTAGTAGTATGCATACACCGGATCAATCTATCTTCTTCTATGCATATTACAACAGCATGTCCGCGTTGGGGCTGTATAGTCTACTGCATGCAGGTGCTGGTATATAGATGTTGAGGCAGGTACTACTGCTGCTGTAATAGAAGATTACATGTATGATGATACGTACATGTATGTAGGTGATGTCCAGCAGCAGTACATACAGTACAGCACAGTAGTAGTGAGTACCGTAGTAGTACACCGGCAGTCGAGTTCATGCGTGCATGCATCAGCACAACGGCGAGCGGTCATCATCATGTCGAGAAGGAATGCCATGGGTTTAAATATTGGATTTTTGGAGGTTCATCGACAGCAGAGAGACCAAAAAAAGCTTTGGTGTGCTGTGCATACAATTACTTGAGAACAGAGTACAGTCAATTGGAGACTACATACATACCCGGCACGCAACAAAAGTAAAGAGTGTGACACACACAGGTACGCTAGAGCTGTATAAAGCACGGCCGACTCTCTACGTAAAAATTAGATACAGGGACCACTGCTGTATCACAAGAAGATTGCTGTGGGAGGGTGGCGCCATGGGCATAAGCTGCCCCTCCGTAGGGGCGGTTGATGTGAAAAAAAGTTGCAGAGAGAGAGGAGGCAAAAAAGAGGGCTGCTGACAGGTACATTTGAAACAAAGGTTTTGACCGCCACAGTCGTCGATAGCCAAAGGTGCGGGCATGCACAGGTCGACCTTTCAATGCTCGTTTTCGGGAGCTGCTTACTTTGCCGGCTGGCAGCGGAACGGGGGTGCAACGGTAGTTGCAGCGTTTCGCGAAAGAGGTGGGCAGAAGGGTTAGAAATGCCTCTGGCGGGTGAAAGGTGGCGGAAAAAAAGGGACGCGAAAAGAGAAAGTCACCAAAATTAAAAATCAAGCTTGGTCATCAGGTGTAGTTTGACGCATATGGTTTCGTCGGCTACAAGCATCAACTGCCCCGCTTGAAGAGATTCGCAGGCAGCCCTTTCGATGCTCGTTGTCGGGAGATGCTAACTTTGCGAATTGACAGCGAAATGATGCCGAAAGGCCCGTTGCAGCGTTTTGCGATGGAGCTATGCAGGGTTGCAGCAGATGGACAAGCAGCACGAGGCCGGAGGGGGCATGTGACGGGAAATGTGTACCCCCGTGGTCCATGCGTTGCATTTAGCGTCTCCCCCTTGCACAAACCTTGCTTGTACATCGTGATCCGAGATACGGGGTGTACCAAGGGGTGAGCATCGAACGCAGTGTAGTTCTAGCTCCACATAGATGTAAGATTTTTGTCGAGGGGCTGAGTATGTGCTGAGAAATTGCGAATTCTTGCGGGGTGATTGTTTTGTGCCGGGAGAGGTCAGCGTAGGGATGACGACATGCTATTATGGGCGGCGTGCAGGTCTGATGGAGTTGTAATTTGGCACACACATGTGTGGACAGTGTTTGCGTTGGCTGTCCGAGTTTTGTGGACTTTCGTGAGCAGGATGCGGAGTTATCGATGCGGCAATAATTTCGTGTGCTGGGCAGCGCCGGGCAACTCGACCCGCAAATCAGCGGAAACGGTGTTCATTGCCTTGTTCGCTCCCCTCGCCGCCGTCCTTGCCGAGACTTGCGCAGCACGCCTATCTCGTCCTAGCGCATCGAGCCGCGGCCAGCATGGGGCTGTATCTTGCTCGGTTGTGGAGTGCGCCGTAGCGAAAAAATGCAAGGGGTTGCCCAAGAAGCGGCCTCAGCGCCTCTGATTTGGGGGGGTATTGTACTGTTGCTCTACGCTGCGTGCGACGCGAGTTGAAACGCTCGCCGTGCTGGCGAGGGCTGGGGTGTGGGCAGGCATGGCCGCGAACGTCGTCGTCGTGGCGGTTTTGGGGCGTTGTTGAGCTCAAAGAACTCAGCCCCGGAGAAGCAGAGCAAACAGGTGTCCCCACTAAAAACAAGTTAAAGGATTTTGAGCGAGACAAAATGCTTGGGTTTGGCGCCGGTGTCGCTTCGATTGAAATTCCTTCGACAGGGCCCTCAAGGGGTAGGTCTCGCGAAGGCACCACCGCGATCTCATGCTCGTAGCTTTCGCGAGCCGAGAGAAATCGCTTCCGGTCACTTTTTTCCCGGTCAAATTTTCTTATAGTTTTTTTTTTTCGTAGCTGAAACATGAACGCGCCATATTGCTGGGTGGGTAGGATTGAAACGCGATTTGAATCGTATAACTATATTCTGTCGGCCTCACTCCAAACCCAAATCTCAGCAACTGCAGACCTTCCATAGGAATTGGTCTTACAAGTTCCGTCTCGAACTCACTTCGCCCTACCCGCTCCTCTTCGTGCCCCCCCCTCTCCCCGTTTCTACAATATGTTTTCCTCTTTGAAGCCCGAAACAACTGCAGACATTTGCGACATGGTCCTGTCCCTCTCCCCCTTTCTGCACTATGTATGACCTCTTTCAAACCCGAAACAATATGCAGACATTTGCGACAGCGTTCTGTCCCTCTCCCCCTTTCTACGCTATGACCTCTTTCAAACCAATATGCAGACATTTGCGACATCATCCTGTCCCTCTACGACGAGCGCGGCGCCGGGCACGCCACCGTCGTCGTCACCGACCTTCGCGACAAGCTCAAGCAGCGGATGATGATGAAGAACGACCCGGCCGCCGGCGGCGCTGGCGCCGCCGGCTCCGGCTCCACGGCCGTCAGCCCTCCGCCCGCGAGCGCAACGACTACGACGGCTTCACCGCGACCGCCGCCGTCTTCACCTCGGCCAACGACATCCTCCTCATCTTCCAGGGCCACGAGAGATCACGCGTCGTCGCCGTCGTTACCGCTTGGCACCAACAACAGCAGCAGTAGCAACACCCCCAACATCGCGGCCAGTCTGGTTGACGGTGGCGGTGTGGACAAAAGGGGCAGTGGTGGTGGTATCGGCGGAGGGAGTGGTAGCAGCGATGGTGGGCAAGGGAGGGGGGTAGCAGGTCGGCCT